TTAGTGTGCTCATCTGGATGGAAAACACTTTAGGTCCAGACATCTAGGAAAACCCATAGCAAATCGGTGAGAAAAGGAAAGGGATGGGGAAAGAAACAAGAGAGGCTTGAAGATGCAAGGGAGAACAATGGAGGTTCATGGAACATGAGGAAGGGCATGAAACAGGCATGTGGGTACAGGTATTACTAGGGCAAAACAGTCCCTGAGCTAAAGGGCTTAAGGCACTAGTATGCCCAGTAAGGAATGTGTGTATGGGCAAGCACTTGAGGGATAACCTGCTTTCCACCTTCTATCCTGTGGCACAACTCAAGTGGGTGCACTAGTGATCATTTTAGGCCTCAAAAATCTAATAAATGCTGTTAATACTACAGGGATTTTTTGCTACTAAACTTAATTAGCATTTTGCTTTGCCTGTTCATCAGCTTAGGTTCTATGTACTGTCAAACAGTAGACTACATAAAATAAATAACACTAGACTTTTCTATGTTTCCCCCCTATAATGCCAAGTAATACTATTTAGGTTTTATTTATGAACATGTAAGAGGCAGTACAGCTGATAAATCAGACTGTGTATAGAAGAGATGGCCATTCTTTGTAGGAAGTTGGTTGATCATTGTTAATCTAAAAACTTAGAGGTAGTTATTTACAGTAATGAATGTATCACATCTTCCTAAGTTTAACTAGTAAAATATTACAGGTTTAAATCATTCAAGTCAAATCCTTGAAATCCACACTAATATTTTTTAAAATTGTATTTAAAAAAAATCAATGATGCTGGTATACAAAAATACTGCCTGTCATTGCTGACCAATATTTTCTCATAGTCTCCTTGCGTTTCCCTTGCAGTCTGCCTGCATGTACCTTTTGAGAGCTTATAAAAGAAACATTTTTTTTATATAGTTGTATCACAATAGGAACTTAGTCCATGACTAAGGATCTATGATTAGTATTACCATATGCACCTATATCATATGCAAATAATACAAATAATCACGTACAGATTATTTTTACAAGCAAAATAATTATCCACCCAGTTAAACAATTCCCAAGTTAAAAAAATAAAATAGTGTATTTTCTGTACAGTTTATCTACACCCTTGTCTTCTGTTCTTAGAAGAAAGTGTCTACATGACAATTTGCAACCTAATTGCACATATATTAAAAAGTTACCTTATAAGGGGAAATATGAGTGTCTGAAGGAAAGGCCAACATTCCCATCACTTGTCGGACCTCATCCAACTGACTTCCTTCAGCCTGACTGAAATGCTTTCTTGCATGTCTGGAATACAGAAATTAGAATACTTAGACAAATATAAGCTCATTTGAATGAATTAAGTTTACTGAAAGAAATTCATTTGCGTAATCAGTACGAAGGATCTTTTGAAAAAAAGAAGGCTCAACTATAGATTATGCACTCAAAGCACAAAACCCAGAGATGATATTGTATTTAAAAAGTCTTGAAAATACATTCTAAGGATTTGAATGGAAGAACAGTTTTAATCCTAGAGTTTAATCACAGTATTTATTTCTTAGGTCTCTAATTTTAAGATGCAACCCCCCCCCCCCCC